TGCTCTTGTAATCCACAAATGAAGACGTTTAGCAAGCTTGACAAATATTTACCAGGTCAACTTTAGGATAGTTTGTGAAACGATATATGTCATTTATACGGAAAACTTGGTGACTGCCTTCCTGACATTTCCCACCTCTTCTTTCTTCAATAGAATTCACCCCTCTGGCTGTCAACTTGAATGGCTCTTTCTTCCAGCGGTGAATACACATCTGCCTATTAAATATAAAGTCTTCCCTTTCAGATTTGCTTTACAGTTAAAAGCAAAATAAATGACAAGTGATCTAGATGCCAAGAATTTGGAAATGACTCTGTTAGGTAAGGTTAAAAGCAGCTTTATTGAAAAATTGTAGTTTATGTATGTTTACATCCATGTCAGGTGGCTGCCACGGCCATTGTACTTCAAGGCTGGGTGCTCAGCTTTGATGATTTAGAAAGCCATTTTTGTCAGTCTTCAGTGCTAGAGAAGGGTCATGCTAGCCCAACTCACAAGAGCCTGATTTGGAGACAGAATGAGTAAGTCATCAACTTTCAGTGAGAAATTGAACAGCAAGGAAATGAGAACACTAGTCTCCAAAAATCTTGCTATTTGGACATTGTTTGCTGAACTGAGAAAGAACAGGTGACACACAAAAAAGTTGATGGATGGTTCTTAGAACCACCAAGAACATCAGCAGCCACCACCATTTACTGAGTGCCCTGTGCCGGTGGTGACAGCAGCCCTGGCAGAGAACTGTCATTGTTCCATGTTGTGTATAAGGAAACACGCCTCAGTGACAGAGTCAAGGATGAGCCTAAGTTCAAGTCCAGTTCCTTCAGAGCTCTTGCATTTAATGATAACTGAGTTCATGTTCTTAACCACCTTGTGTGGTTTTATGATTTTGAGTGGAGGTCCTGGGAACCCCAAGGAGTTGCTCCCGGGATACTGACAGGTTGGGGAACAAAGCAGACAGGTGTGTTTCCACCATACGATTTGCTTTGAAAAAAGGGTTCCAATATTTCAGTGTTTGAAAATCACATAGTATGCTATATTTGCCATCCCTAATATGCGTGTGTGTGTTTATGTGAATGTATGAGTATATATGTACATATATACATTTGTCTCTGTTGTATATGTGTATATATTAGGAGTAGAATATATTAGTATAGTTTGTGAAATAAGTTGTATGCATGTATTCAGCATTTATTAGATACTAGGCTCAGTACATGAGGCTTTAGTTATATTCACTTGCCAAGACCCCCAAGAGGTAGGTATCCTCCACATTGGACTATTTAGGACAAGAAGGGAGTGAGTATCAAGGCCAGGGTCACACAGCTGCTGTCCCATCCACATCGGTTCCCCTTCAGCCCTGAGCCTTTGCATCGTACCACTGCTCTGACGGTCTGACTCAGAATTCCTGATGACCCTTCCCTGAATGACCCTCGTTAAACATTTTCCTGTTGTATCCTGGGGATGGCTGGCCTTTGACTACTAGATGGTTCTTTTCTTTAGGGCAATTGATATCTTGCAGCTTTCTTTTTTTTTTTTTTTTTAATTGGGTATAATTGCTTTACAATGCTGTGTTAGTTTCTGCTTTATAACAAAGTGAATCAGTTATACATACACATATGTTCCCATATCTCTTCCCTCTTTGTCTCCCTCCCTCCCACCCTCCCTATCCCACCCCTCCAGACAGCCACAAAGAACCGAGCCGGTTTCCCTGTGCCATGCGGCTGCTTCCCACTGGCTATCTACCTTACGTTTGTTAGTGTATATATGTCCATGTCTCTCTCTCGCCCTATCACACCTCACCCTTCCCCCTCCCCATATCCTCAAGTCTGTTCTCCAGTAGGTCTGTGTCTTTATTCCTGTTTTACCCCTAGGTTCTTCATGACATTTTTTTTTCTTAAATTCCATATATATGTGTTAGCATATGGTGTTTGTCCTTCTCTTTCTGACTTACTTCACTCTGTATGACAGACTCTAGGTCTATCCACCTCATTACAAATAGCTCAATTTCGTTTCTTTTTATGGCTGAGTAGTATTCCATTGTATATATGTGCCACATCTTCTTTATCCATTCATCCGATGATGGACACACTTTCCATTTGCAGCTTTCTTAGCTGCATTCCTGTCTGAAAGCATGTCCCACCATCTCATTGAGAAATAGGTGATTCCATACCTTCCCAGCATCATCTCTGAAGGGGAGGGACAGGCATGGGTATGACATTCACCAGAGTGCGTGGAGTTTCCTGACTTCGTCTCCAAATCCTGGAGGGACCAACCCTCTTCTCTGCTGTTGCTCCTGAGGGGTGGTGGAAGGGAGGTTGGAGCCTGGGCATT